GGCGGCTAACAGGGTCCAATTGCATAACCTATCTTAGAGGAATAATGAAGGTTTCAAGGAATATGCACAGAGGTTGCGTGAATTGGCAGCTATAATGCAACCTCCTATGGTGGAGCGGGAGTTGATAGATATCTTTGTTGCCGCGCGACTGGGGTGTACTACGAGAAGCTAATTGGCAATATGTCGGGAAGTTTTTCTGATCTAATTATTACAGGTGAAAGAGTCAAGAACGAAATTAAGATGGGTAAGATTCAAGCTAGTGAAGGATCCACATCTGGTGGAGGGAGAAAGATCTTTGGGAATAAAAAGAAAGAGGGAGAAACTAATGCAGTATCAAGTTCCCGGGGAAGAAACAGAAATCAGCATCAACAATACCGTCAACAGCAACCTCAGGTTGCAAGTATTACCATACCTGCGGTACCTCAACCAAAACAACAACAACCACAATAGAATCAACAAAATTATGCTCCTCGCAGATTTCAGGATCGGGACAGGGCAGTAAACAGGCAGTTTGATGTGCCACTGATACCATACTTGTAGTTGCTTCAACACTTGTTGCAATTACAGCTGATACAGAAAAGGATTCTGGCTCCTTTGATAGATTCACCACCTCTTGGTTACAATGCTAATTCTAGGTGTGAATTTCATTCTGGTGCCCCGGGTCACAACATCGATAACTGTAAAGCATTCAAGCATAAGGTTCAAGACCTTATAGACAATAAAGCCATTAAATTTTCTCATGATGCACCCAATTTCGTGCAGAATCCCATGCCTAATCATGGGGCATCTGGGGTTAGTGCCATTATTGAAGATGAGAGTTTGAATCTGGTAGCTGATGTTGAGGAATTGAAGACTCCATTGAGCTTTGTAAAGGATAAACTGTTGAGTGGAGGGGTATTTCCTAGGTGTGATCAAGCTTGTGCAGAGTGTTTGGTCCACCCTGAGGGGTGTGAGAAGTTGAAGAATCATATTTAGAAGCTAATGAATGACGGTATCTTATAATTTGACAGAGTTCCAGAGAAGAAAGAGGAGAAAATAGGAGACGAAGAAAGGAATGAAGTTGCGACAATTTCGATTCCGTACAAGACTATCAATATTTATGCGCTGCCTAGGCCACCAACCATCATTATCACCAAAGCTGGTCCTATACCATACGAGAGTACTAAATCGATTCCTTGGAATTACGGAGCCGAAGTCTACTATAATGGGCAGAAGCAAGAACTGAAAAGTTCACCGTTGGATTCTGTGGATAATTTAGTAGGTGCTAGTGGGATTACCCGGAGTGGAAGAGTGTTTTTGTCTCCTGAAGTGGGTGCCGAGAAATCTGACAAGGGTAAAGGAAAAGTAGTGGTTGAGGAGACTTCTCAAGCTAGTGAGAAAGAGTCCTTGTTGAAGGAGGAGGAAGAATTCATGCGCATGATCCGGAAGAGTGATTACAAGATTGTAGATCACTTACAGCAAACTCCGTCAAAGATCTCCATTATGTCGTTGCTGTTGTGTTCTGAGGCACACAAAAATTCTCTTTTAAGAATACTGAATACAACTTACATGCCACAGGAGATATCTGTGAATCAGCTCGAAGGAGTAGTGGCACATGTTAATGCTGGTAACGAGCTGGACTTTACTGATTTGGATTTGACACCCAAGGGACAAAATCATAATTTGGCGCTGCATATATCTATTGAATGCCAGGGGTCTGTAATGTCACACGTGTTGGTTGATATCGGGTCATCCTTGAATGTACTTCCTAAGAAAGCGCTGATGAAGTTAGATACCCGAGGTATAATGTGTACTCCAAGTGACTTGGTGGTACGAGCATTTGACGGGACTAGAAGGTCTGTGTTTGGGGAGTTGACTCTGCCAATCTAGGTCAGTCCAGAGGTGTTTGATGATGTGTTTTATATCATGGATATTCAGCCAGCTTATAGTTGTTTTCTGGGATGTCCTTGGATACATTCAGCAGGCACCGTAACGTCAACGTTGCACCAAAAGTTGAAATACATGGTGGTTGGCAGTGTTGTTACTGTGTGTGGAGAAGAAGATATTATGATAAGTCATTTTTCTTCATTCAAATATGTCGAAGTTGACAGTGAGATCCATGAGACGTTATGTCAGGATTTCGAGACTGTACAGATCAAGGATAAAGCACCAGTTTTGGCCAAAGCATCTGAGGTTTCCATGTCATCTTTTAAAGAAGCACTGGCTATGGTGAGGGCTAGGGCATCACAAGGTTGGGGCCAAGTGTTGAACATCCCCAACAAACAAGACAAATTCGGATTGGGGTATAGCCCATCTTCTTCCTCATATAGCGTGCCGCGTTATAAGGGACCCGTCCAGTTCACCAGCGGTGGGGTGATCTTTGAGCAGATCAATGTCGTATTAGATGAAGAAGGTGACAGTGATTGCAACATAGATACATGGATCCTTTTTTATTAGTATTCTTTGTAAATAATGTCCAATGGTATATTCAAGAATCTGGACAACTCCAAAGCATGTTTTGTAAGCATGTATCTACGACCATCTTTAGTAGGAGTCATCAGCAAGGTCCCGTGTTTTCTGGTTTCAATATAAAGGACATCACCCCAGATTCAGTTAGTTACTAGCATGAGGCACGGAATTTCTTTTATTAAAATGCGGCTAACATTAGAGCTACTTATTCCAGGAATAGGAAGTCTGTAACGAGTAATATATAGCACTCCTTTTCTTTTATCGAAAAAATTAGTTCCGCCAATTACAGTCCAATAATTAATATATTGAAACATGATACCGCTTAGGATACTGACAATTGCAGTGATAAGCAGAGAAACAATCTTATTTGGTAGCACAAAGAGCCATTTAATCGGTGCATCGAAAATGTTCATCCGAGTAAGATTGCTATAGAAACGATAGAGAGAAAAGAATCCCACGAAAAAACTGACATGACTTAAAATTCGAAAAAAAAACATGTTGGAAACCCGGGATAGTGTCCATCCAAGTAGTTTCTGACACATAGGAACATAAAACTTTTTTGTTTGTCTCGTCCTTAATGCCCCCCTGGAACAGGGGGGCATTAACCGCATTTTTGTTTGTCTAGTTCCTACTGCCTTTTTACTTATAATTTATGTAAAAACGGTAAGTCAAAGTGACTAATTTTACTGAAACATGACTTCTAATTTCTTAGCAATGATTGAAGAAAAACACGAAAAAAGGATTTCTATTTCTTTTAATCTTTGTTTTAAATAAAATGATCAGATTACAACCAGCAAAATTCTATTAACCATATAGTAGAAAGAAATCAAATCTATTTCTTTCTACTATATTCTCTATTACGGTAGGAGTAGGATAAAAATAGAATGTTTTACTAAAAAAAAAGAGTTCCTATGGAGGAACCAATTTATCATTTTCTTTTCATATGGATATATGGATATCAATCTATAGATATATATGGAATGTAAATTCCATGGCGTCCACATTTTTCTTTATTTCATCTAAATCTATTCTATTTGTATTGATTCCAATCAATCTGAAATAATTCAAAAGCAACGCCATTTTTATTCTTCTTAGTTTCATTTTTAGATTTCAGATTCTTTATCAGAATCCCGGTAACTAATAAATAAAAATAAAGAATCTTTTTAGTATTCCAAAATTTAAATAGATTAAATGGAATCGGAATCTGTTTCCAATTATCTTGATTCCCGGGATATCAAGATGGCAACAATTTAAATATTTGTTTGATTCAAAGAGTTTTTTTTTCCAATAATATATATACATGGAATATATTACACCACTGGAAGCAATACAAGAGAATTTCTAAATCCACATAGAATTGCATTTCATTAATTAGTATTAATAAAATAACTCAAATAGTTCAAAACTGGAAGAACTCAGCTATAAAACAATTGAGACAGTTTGATCTCTTAACTCAATTAGTATTACCTTTAAAGTCCACTTCTTCCCCATACTACAAGGGAAAGGAAAAATGTAAAAACTACCATTAAAGCAGCCCAAGCAAGACTTACTATATCCATGTCAATTATGTCTCCTATCTATATCAATATGAAGAAATTCTTTTATTAATTCTTTTTTTATTGTTTACTTATTTTTCTTGTATTCTTTTAGTTTTTCACTAAAAATTGGAGAATATCTTCTAATAATAGTGGAATCGCTGGTACAGAGTCAAAAAAGGATTCCATTCCGTCCTAACACCATTGACGAAACATCCAATTAGAACATATAGCAAGTTCTTATCCGATTTGGAGTAGAATTGAAAAATTGAAAGCATAAATAAAAAATATACTTAGAAGTAGTAAGGTAATTAATCCTACTAATAGGTAGGAACTATGTTTTGCATACTCTTATTTGCATCTGTTCATTCCATTGGATCTAATCCTTATTGTATCTCGATTCGTTCTCTAAAACAATTGGAAAAGAGCCTATTCAATTCTTTTACTATAGATTACCCCAAAGAAAGAGTTTTCTTTTTCTTAGAATGGAAATGGAATAGAAATATATTTCTAATATAGACTCATGATTCTATTTTTTTTAAGTTAATTAAGAAAGTTGTATTTGGTGAATTCAATTCCCGCTTTCATTCCTTCACTATCTATTTCGACATAAACAATAAGAGGACTCTAGGAAAAGACAAATTATCCATCCTAGAATCATGTTTTCCCTTTGTCTATTTCTACTTTACTTAATATTCTGTACCTACCTATTTTTTTAGGTTTAGTATCGAGTTAATTCTAAAACAATAGAAATTAGAGGATTTCTAGAACATTAAAATCCGAAAACAGCTACATAATCATATGGTTCAAATTAATTATGCAGTTGAAAAAAAAAACCAAGAACCAAATAGTCTTCTTCACAATATACATAATATGACTGAACTAATTCTACGGTACAAGGAATTTTCTAAATATAGTATATCTACAAAAACTAGAAAGAACCAAGGGTGTTTACAGAATTTATCAACAAAAATGGAGTTCTTTTTACCAGCTTAATATGTTGATTAATTCAAATTCCTAAAAATTCATTTCGAACAATTGAACCTTCTCAAATTGTTTCTTTTTAAGAACCAAAAAGATTTGTGCCAAAATAATAGATGCCAAGAAGAGCAAGAGACCTTGGACACATAATGGATCTTGAAGCACTATTTCTGCATCCCCCTGACCAAATCCACCCACATTAGGATTACTCGTTAATGGTTGATCAAGTTCGATAGATTCACCCTCTGAAACAAGAAGTTCTGGTCCTGGCGGTAGAATATCAATCACTTCACGTCCATCTGATGCATCTACTATCGTTATTTCGTATCCACCTTTTTCTTTTCGTATTATTTTGTTTACTACACCTGTTGCTGTAGCATTATAAACATTATTATTACTTTTGCTTCCGTCGGGATAAATCTTACTCCTTCCCCTGTTCCCGCCTATGTATAGAGGATATTTTAAGAAGTAAACATGTCTCTTAGTAGCAGGATCTGGAGAAAGAATAGGAAAGGTAATTTCACTATATTTTTTCCCAGGAACGGGGCCTATCACAAGAATATTTTTTTTTGTGGGACGATAGCTTTGAAAAGACAAATTACCCATCTTTTTTTTAATCTCGGGCGAAAGACGATGAGGAGGGGCCAATTCAAAACCCTCTGGTAAAATAAGAATAGCTCCTACATTCAAAGCCCCCTTTATACCATTAGCAAGAACTTGTTTCACTTGCATATCATAAGGAATTCCCACAACTGCTTCAAATACAGTATCGGGAAGTACCGCTTGTGGAACCTCAATATCTACGGGCTTATTAGCTAAATGGAAATTAGCACATACAATCCGGCCTGTAGCTTCTCGAGGATTTTCATAACCTTGTTGGGCAAAAATGGGATATGCATTTGAAATGGGTGCTCGAGTTATTATATGGATCATGAGCAATACGAAAATAGATCGGGTAATCTCTTTCTTTATCCAAGAAAAAGCATTTCTAGTTTGCATGGTCCAATCCTTGATCCTGAAAATTTCTACAATAAGATTAGGTAGGGAGCTGGCACAGTTCCTTATCCATGATTCTGCTATTTACTCCAATTATTTGCCTATAATATAGGAAGAATACGAGTAAAACGAAAATGAATAAGTGAAATTTGGAATGTTTAGCTTTTATATAAAAGCTAAACAAATTTTAGAATTGGATCAGTGGGTCCTTTTTTCAGTCATTCACGGAATGGAATTGAATCATAAATCGATAAAAGCGACGGAGATACATAATTTAAATAACATAAAATCCAGTATTTAAAAATAATATTTAAAATGGCTGGCAAAATAGAAACAAGAAAAGATATAATATGATCATTTAGAGTAAATCCAAAATCTTTATAGACAGACCAAATCATTAGTTCCCAAAGACCAGTCGAATGGTATCCTACAGAGAAATCAATTAAGAAAAGAATAGAAAAAGCTTTTATTGTGTCACTTAAGTTATATACAAATTCTTGAACCCAAGAGTTAAGAATAATGAGTTCTTGATTACCCTTAATAGAATAAACACTTAGACTAAGGAAACATATTATATTTGTAAAGAAATGAAAAATCGTATGGGAATTATCTTCGTTGTTCGTCTGAATCAATTGGATGGTCGCTTTTTAGATTTTGATACGAAGGTTTTGTAAATGTGTTTCCGGGTATTCCTTTAGCATTTCATCCAAGAGGAACAGTTCCTCGAACTCTAGGAATTTCTTTACAATAGTTTTTTCTTGAATAGTATTCAAGAAAATTTCGGATTCTTTCGTATTCCACCAATTAGTAATCCAAGATTCCAGACTTTTCTTAAATGTAAAACAGATGCACCAGGGCAAAAAGACTATAGATGTAAGACATAGAAGGGGAATGAATGCTTTCTTTTTTGCCATTTTTCGTCCTCAGTTTCATCTCATTTTTCAAGTCTAGAATATTCTATATATTCTAATATTTCTATCAAGCATAAGTTCTATTACAAGTAAATACTAATAAAAAAGCGAGTTTAGCCGATAATAATTAATATATTATAGGCTAAACTCGCTTTATAGGCTAAACTCGATCGGATAAACTCGCTTTTTTATTAGTATTCTTTGTAAAAAATGTCCAATGGTATATTCAAGAATCTGGACAACTCCAAAGCATGTTTTGTAAGCATGTATCTACGACCATCTTTAGTAGGAGTCATCGGCAAGGTCCCGTGTTTTCTGGTTTCAATATAAAGGACATCACCCCAGATTCGGTTAGCGAGTTTAGCCGATAATAATTAATATATTATAGGCTAAACTCGAATAGATATGGATCTGATGATATCCAATCTGATCCATATCACGAATAACTATATGTGATCTATCAAATCAAGAATTCATGGTCGAGAATTGAATAGTATAACATCGAAAGATGTTTTATCCATACCAAATAAGAAAATGACTTTCTGATGCAATCCAAAAGTCCTTTTTCTTTGTCCCAACCTTTCCCTAAAACTAAAAAAGAAAAAAGGGGATACCCGTTAGAAATGATA